ACGATCAGACACGATGGAAGCCCAACAAGATCACAAAATAACTAATTCGATATACTTCCATTAGATGAAGAAAGAGAAAGATAGAGGAGATAGAATAAATTTAAATCTATTGGAGCGATTAGCGATTATCGACAATAGAATTTCTGCATATCGATGAGACACGTAAAAAAAAAATCACGCAATGCAATTGAAATGTTTGCAAATCACTTGGTTAATAATTCGATAAGTTTGTCACAAAAAAGTAACAATGTAACATAATGCACATGTTGCAATTGCTATATATCAATCCAACTCGATCTTCATTGTGGTCAGGAACAACCAATTCCCACGATGTTTATTACTATTAATACCTCGATACCTTGGTGATATCACGATAAAAGACGGATCACTCTTTGCAGTTTTGTACCGTCGCCACAAATCATTCCAAGAGCCAAACCAAAGTGGATTCTCAACACACACGCGCACAGAAAACCTAATGTCGATGCGCGAAATCAGCCAGCAGCTTAGTTCTCGGAGATGCAGTTTGAAGCGAAGTACGTCGACCCGTTCTCTGTGCACGACAAATTCGGCATTCACGAAAAGTCGGTACCCCGTAGGGACGGACGAAGGAAGGGGAGTAAGATGGAGTTAAAGCGAATAAGAAGAAATGAGGAGAGGAAAACGACATTGCGAAAAGAGGAAAGAGCTGCGACTTGAGGAAAAAAAGAGAAAGAGAGAGAGATACTTCCTACGTGCCAGCATTCCGCGATGAACTCACGAAGAAGGAAGGCGCTCACACGCGCTTGTCCTTGCTAGCACGTACCAGCAGCAACGCCCTCTTAAAGAAAGCAGAGAATGACGGAGAGGGGGGGGGAGGGGAGCGATGGGGTCGGACGCGGGCGAGGAGAGAGAGAGTTTGCGCGCGATTGTGTGTAGACCGCGGTGTTAACAAACGGTACACTAATGTTTCACATCTCGGTGTGTACCCCTCCTCCTTCCGCTGGCCAGTTCTCTTCTTCGTCCCACTTCCGTTCCGAGCGACAAGCGATCTCGCTCCCTCGATGAGGTTCCTCCGTCGCTCCGACGGCGAGCAAGAGCGCGAAGCGGTAGCTCGGCGTGCCGTGCACGTCGGTCGCGGGGTGACGGCGAGAGAGAGGCGACGGCGTCACGAGTTTCAGCGGTAGTCACTCTCGTCCGCCGCGCTACAACACCATCCGTAAAAGGGTGGAGGGGGATCGAGAACGAAGGAGACGAAGGCGGGGCGAGGTTAGTCCGCGCCCACGGAGGGGAAAAAAGCCGAGCTCCGCACCCACTGTGGCACGTTAGAGGGGAGGCGAAAGAAGTGTGGAAGGGGCACAATTTATCCCGCACCTCTCACTCTTTCTCTCTCCCTCTCTCTCTTTCCAACGCTTCTGTCCCCTACGTCCACCACCTACGTAACACGAACACACGTGGGGCGCGCACTCTCTGGGCGCGTTCTTGTGTGTATGTATATACGTGTGTATATACGCGCCCTCTGCAAAAATATTGCCGCCGGCAGGTACGCGAGCGTGTGCGCGCGTCGTCGATCAGTGGGCGAAAAATATCGGCGAGTCCTTTTTCCCTCTCCGCACGCGAGGTATCCCCACCAACGTAGACGACAGGGTATATTTTCGCGACCCACTACCTTCAACCGCTCCTATTCGCCTCTTTCGCTGACGGTCGTGCCGGAAGGGCACGAACAAGTACACGCGAAGAGGCGAGTTCTCTTGAAAGAACTGCGCAAAGCATTTCACGACACTCTTGTCAAAGTCTTTGGATAGCGTCATTGCGATCGTTTCACTGAGGTCCGCTCGAATATCGTAGGTGCACGTTTTCGCGTTGCTTCGATCGGATGATCCAAGCTGAATTGGTCAATTGGAGCATCGCATCGTTAAAAAAAAAAGACGTTTCATCTGTTCGCTAGTTCGATTACTCCGAGTTCTGCAGAGAGAAACAGTGTGAAATAAAATTAGAAAAAAATCTCGATGTAACTATTTGACGAAATGATTGACGGATGGGTCGTATGGCGGGACGTTCACGCGACATCGTCGCGTTAAACTGTCGGAACGAACATAGTACTCTGCGTAAACGCCGTCCGTGTAATACGCTCACCGGAGTGACGATCGTGCATTCCGCGATGTAAAGGCGCGAGGGAGACGGATGATGCTGCAGGTGGGAGCGGTATCACATGGGAGCGAGATATAGGTAGAAGTGAGAGAGACCGAGGCGCGAAGGACAAGAAGAGACAGAGAGGAGGCGAGAGAAAGGGATAGAATGTAGGAGCGTAAAGACGAAAAGAGAGAGACGGAAGTTTGTGTAGTCAAGTGTCGCGTAGTGCGTAGAATAAGGAGGAGTGGCAGGTAGCGCGGCATCAGAGCTAACTCCAGGCACAGGAAGGGGTACGAAGTAGTCGGCGATCTTGTCCTCGCGCGGAGGATAGAGGAGAAGGAGGAAAGAAAGAGCAAGAAAGAAGACGGTAGGGTTTGGATGGTGGGAGACATGGGTCGGAGTGTGCGGTCGTGTCCGAGGAGGAGGAGGGGAGGAAGCAGTCGACAGCAACGGGAGAGAGGGCAACGAACAAACTACCGGGAAGAAGTCAGCGGCAAGTAAAGCAGCGCCGCCGAGGCTAAACTTCGGGATCTATCGAACTAAAATTGTCGTGTAGTTTCTGCCTCCGTGCCCCCCAACCCAACCCCTGTCGTCCGCTAACCTTCCGTTCACCCCCTCCGAGCGCTACCGACCGCTCACACTCTTCTCGCCCCACCATACGGGAGCGTGGCAGCATCTCGGCCGGTCGCGTCCCCCTCCGTCTCCGTCAACCCATCCCCTCCACGCGGAAACGAAAGCCGAGAACGAAGAGGGAAGAAAGCGCCTACGGTGGGGCATCAGGAGGTACGAGAGAGCGAGAACGGACTATCGGGCCGTCGCGCGAAAGAGCGAGAGACAAAAAACGGAAAGAGGAAAGGAGAGAAAAGGACGGCTGAACGAGGCGACCACCGACTCGACAAGGGACGGCTGAAGGGAGGGAATCGCAGGGAGCTGCGTTAGCCGAGCCCCACGGGCGACTCACCATATTTTATTGTCGCGTTTGCCGACGCTAACCGCCGGCTCCGTGCCCGATCGACGAGGTAGGATGCCGACGACTCGTGCGGGAAGAGAAGAGAGCCACGCACGACACCCGGCGTGCTAATACGAGAGCTACCCGCGGAACGAATTCGCGCGCGGGTACGAGGTGGAGGCGAGAGCGTGGCATCGGCGGCAGAGGTGGTGCCCGTACCCCCACCACACCGCGCACCGTACCGACCTGGACCCTCCCACCCGTCTCGCCGAGGGCAAACCATCTCGCAAAAATCGTCCCCCTTTCCGTGGAAGGAAAAGAACCACGGCGACGACTCTGCCACTGCCACCACCATCACCATCACCACCACTAGACTCAGCGGCGAGTTTCGAGCGTTTCTCTCTCGTCATCGAGCCACCACCACTAGCGTGATACTATCGTTACCGCCAGCGCCACCGGCACTGTACCCGTCGCCTCCTCCTACGACATCGCGATCAACCGTCATCTCGCGGAACGTGGGGTACAGCGGCAACTTACAGACCGCCGCGGACCACGCTTGTTCCTTCGTGAGCGAGCAGCGGTGAACGTACGCGAAATCTGGTGACGCTATATAGAGCTCGTTGATGGTGAATCGCGATCAGTGTGCTTATCGCGCTCGGTGAACGTGAAACAAACTTTTTTTGTTGACAATTGCGTGAATGGAAGTGAACATCAAGATAACGAGTAAGAGCACAGTTAAACTCTTGCATTGGTTATCATACGAAAAAAAAGAAAAGCCTTGTAAAGACAAAGTGAGAGAGAGAAAGGGAGAGAGAGAGAAAGAGAAATAGGAAAACAGGAGGGGGGGGGGGGGGCAGTAAAACGGAGCAAGAACAACGGTATAGTGTCTGGTCCTAGTCGCTGTTGTGTGTTGTCAGCAGCAAGCGGGCGTGCACGCGGTGGAAACACGCGCCGCCGTCAGTTCGTACTTGGCGCTTTCGCGGTGCGCGCGATCTGGTAGCGCCACGATCGGAGGAGCCGTGATCGGCACTACGAGCGAGAGGAAGAGGAGGAATAAGAAGACGAATACAGGCCTCTCTTTCGCGAGTTCGAGGCGCGTGATTGCGCAGGCCGTGAGGCGACCGGCTGCGTGGAAGGACCGCGGAGGATAAAAAGAGACGGCCGGTGTGCGCGATTCACATCGTCCTCGCTGCTGTTCTCCCTCTCACTCTCATCTCCATCTCTCTCTTTCTCTCTCGCTTTCCCTCTGTCCTCCTCCTCCGTCATTCCTCTCCTTTTTCAGCGGTGTCCCTCCGACACCCTCGCTCAACCTACCACTCTACCTCTCTCTTTCTCTCTCTCCCTCTCGGGTCCCCCCTCCTCCCCCCTCGCTCGGCTTGCTATCCCGTCCCTCTGACGCTCGCTCGTTCTCACTCCCTCCTCCCTCTATCCCATCTACCCTTCTCGCTCCCCCTCACTGTGGCCGTCTCGCTCGCGCCCGCGATCCATGTACCTCCGCCTTCCTATCCACCGAGCGGAGGACTGGATTCCGTCGAAAAGAAACGACGATTCGGAGGATAGTCGCGACCGATCATAGCTGGCGCGTCGATCGGATCAACGGAGTGAACTAGCCGTCCGCGACTAACCGCATCGCGCGTTACCACGACAAGTGCCACGCATCGCAGTCGCGCACTCTGTGCCCTTTAATCTTTTTTTTTTTAAACCGTAACTCGTGTTCCTTCGGTGTGCCGGCAGAACTCGTGCTCCTTCTTCAGCAGGACCATTTCCCCCTTCGACTAACACGCTAGAGTGATCGGAGTGCGTGCGGTCCGCGATACGACCGTATATCGCCGGCTGTCGTTCGCGGCACTTTCTTTCGCAACCTGCTTCGCGAGTGCTCCGCAACAACGACGATAACCGCACAACATACGTAGTAGTTTCCACGACAGAACCGCTACCGAGGTCTACTTATCGGTCGCCCTCGCGTTTCGACTTGTTTTCGCGTGTGACAGTGCGAGTGCATATGCCGGCAGCGGACCGCCACCGATTTCAACCGGTTCGAGTGCAGCTGGGCGACCAGTCGCGACGACTGGGCATACGGGAGTGCCATCGACGCGAGTAGCACCCCGCTACGGGGTGGCTGGACACGCGACACAGAGGGTTCTCACACCTCCGCGTGAGCTTTCGCTTCGGGCGCGTTAGTGAGATACAGAAAAAGAAAAGAGAGAGAGAGAGAGAGAGAGAAAAAAAGGAGCGGAAGTGTGATCGATTCGCAAAGTGACTAAGTCCGGAAGCGAGGCGCACACGGCGAATGCCGCGGACTTCTGGAACGATGATCGCGTAGCGGTGCCCGACCATCACGGCCCTGAGCGGCCGACACATCATGTCACAGTTCTCTTTCCGAGGATCGCCAAATCTACAGGTGAGCGCTCTCGATCCTGCGTACTCTCCGCGAGAGATCTCGCAACTATGCACCGCACGTTCACTTGCGAGTAAAAATCCGCAGATTAATTTCGGCAAGTATCAATATTGCTCCGATCATTTTACATCGTGGATAACGACATATGACATGGAAATTGAGGAGTGTAATCAAAAATAAGACTTAATGCCTAATGTTTCTATCAATGTAGATTAATTTTTATCACAATTCATTTTACTTGACTATAATCTCGGTTCAACTTACTATTTATCTTTTTCTAAATTTGTAGAACTGGAACAAAAAGAAAAGTAAGTTGAATTGAGATTAAAATTAATCTGTGCACTGTGATTGACTAAATGATAAAAGTATAATAATTTCTTTTATCGTCCGATTCATCAACGCTGGACTCTTTTACGTACTGTAAACATTTAGAAGTTGTTGATAAATTTATATGTATATTTTGCCTAGTGCTATTCGTTTATAACTTATTGCTTCCTCTCGCAACAACTCCGTATGTTCACAATTATGCATAACTTTTCGGTTGAAGCGAGCGTATCCACTTGAACGTTAAATGTGTGCGCGTGTGTTGAAAATAAAATATGAGAATTCACACACACACACAGAAAGATACTCGCAAGTGAATATGGTAAACCTTAGGATCTAAAAACTGTCAGCGTTTGAATACATGAAAAAGTAATCGATTGACGCGAGTGATTCGATAAAACTGATGCAGCGAAGTCAATGATCACAGCCGTAGCAGACAGATAAGTCGCAGCTGTTATCCAAGATCGCGTCCTTAATATCAATTCTCGATTGCCGCTTGCACTTCGAGCTAACTCATTTTGCTATATCAGGAACCGTTGTAAAAAAAAATCACTTAACGGTTGTGTTAAACAAAAAATCGGTAATTATCCGAGAGATAAGCGGAAAGAAGTAACCTCGTTGATAAATAAGTGAGCCATAAAACGGACGTCTCGAATATCGTGTGCGCCATTCTCCTTACATTTGACATTTTAGTAAAACATAGATCTTCCAATCACAGAATTATTTATCCCGCATTTGTATCGTTTACGGTACAAACGTATCGTACCAATTGTAAAACGAAAGTAATCGAATCAACAAAGAGCGCATAATTAAACGATCCGATCGCTGCGCTTGTTACATCGTATATCTCATTCCTCCCTAACTCGTGTTAAACTAATACCTCGGCTAATACATATCACAGCATATAATCAATAATAAGGAATGGTGCATAAAGCGAATTTTCGTCAATCGTTTTTACCGGAATTTCTGTCCGTGTTTGATATTTTTGCTCCATTTTACACTGAAGCGATTATAACGAACAGAAAACCAGAAATATCAGGTTGAAAAACACACGACACTTTTTTTGCACAAGTTACGGTCGATATGATCGCGATATTATTTATATTCAGCTTGTAATAGATCCGTCTGTTTTCTGCTAAATTATAGTTTCTGACGACACGTGTATTATACTGATAATAAATGTAAAGGGTTTTTTTTTACAGATGTTTTAACAATTAAGCGAAAAAATCTATTTTTTTTTTTTTAAATAAATCTAACATGCATGTCATAGGCACAGTGTTTTCAATGTAGTTCAGTATTTTCTCATCTTTGTATGTTAATGACAGGTCGATTTGCGTTTTTTCTTCATGACATCTTGACTTAAAGTGTAATTCGTTAGTGTTTGTAAAGTCAAATGTAGTTAATGATCGAACGTTCAAGTATCATGTATGTGTTAGTTCTCACGTGTAGTCTCTTGCACACATGTACGTATACGCGTACGTACACGCATAATACATAGCACGACAAATGTATTCTTTATTACTGACTATGTAACGATCGCGCGAGACGAGACATTGTCGGTGCGATTACGAAGCAACTTCTTGCGCGCCGGCTAACCGCGACAGAGTGTCATCGTTTGCAGAAATTACGATCGGGGCTAATTTCGCATCGCGAAGTTATATTAAAGGCAGTTCCCTCCCTTGGTAAATAATTTTCACCATTAAAATCACGATGCGTGCGACGCGTCGTTAGGCGTCGTTAACTCGTTTTAGCCTCACGAGGCGTATCGAATAATTTGTGTAGGGAGGAATCTCTCCCTCTCGGCGGTGGAGGTGAGGGTTGCGAAAATGAATAGCCGTTGGCAAGCCGGAGAGGTTCCGTACCCACGTGTCCTGACACGCTGTATATAGGTATACCTTGCATACACGGCGTGCATAGCGCTGAACTGAGAACATGTGTTGCCACGCCTAAATGATCGAAGAGCCGAGCTCGGCGGAATAATTATCTTGTCTTACTAACAACGAAGGTTTTTGTCATAATAGCAGCATCGCATGCCGCTGCATTTCAACCGTATCTCGAAGGTGGTAATTGGTGCGTGCTCCACGCGCGCCTTTCCCATACCCGTTCTGTCGCTCTTTCCACTCATTTCATGTTTATACTCGTAATTATTAGATTACGAATACATTTCTTTTTTTACATCGATTTTACATTTCGTATGAAATTACCTGTGTATCGAGACGTAACCATTCGAGAAAAATTCTAGCACGGCACAAATGTTTCATTGGCGCAAGTAAGTGCAAGTAAAACGGATGAATTGAAGATATGAAGGAATGTCGATGCAAACGCGAGAGTTATATTACAATCTCTTTACATATAGTACGTTGTTAAAGTGCTGATAAAATTGATGGCCTCTTATCAGTGTTATATTCCACTTATAGTGCAGTTTGGAAAAAGGAAGAAATAATTATATTAGTCAGTGTATTTATCGTTGACATATTGCTGAGATATGTCGTATATACGTAGACAATAACTCGTTACTCGTAAAATAATTTTTTTCATTTTCTTTTTTTCTTTTTTCCATGTCCTTCATACTTGGCGCGTTATTATTTTGTAACATAAAACACATCAACGGAGAGACACGTTATTTTTGCAAGCTTGTCTATTTATGAAAAATACATTTCTAATTGCATGTCGGGAAAAAGTTTCCCGGTCGTAATAACGACGCGTATAAAATTACAATTTATCAAAATTATTACCATTATCTTCATCTATCTGCGTATCGTCCATGCTACTTTAAAACCATTAGTAATTAAAAGCAATTAATTTATTGCGCTGCATGCAATGCTGGTAATCATCATATATCGCAACATGTCACTACGCTTGAGGAAATAACGAGTCATAAATAAATAGCACTAGGCGAACATAATAAATTCATCATCAACAACTCCTAAACGTTTGCACATATGTAAGCGAGTTCAGCGTCAACGAACTGAACGATGAAAAAAAAATTTATCATTCTATTTTTACCATTTAAAGTCTCATCTTTATGTCGTACTCCTCCATTTTCATATCACATAGATTTAGCGTATTCACGATGTAAAATGATCGAAGCAGTGTTGACACTGACCATTGCCCAAATTAATCTGCTGTTCGTTTATCCGACACGTCTCTGCGAACGCGAATGCAACGCTCGGCGACGACGTAGTCTCGCTTACCGTTTAATTCCAGCTTGAAAAATTGTCGCGCCCATAAATACACAACTGTGTTCTCTCTTTTTTTTTTTTTTTTTTTTTTTTTTTCAAAAA